TCTCAAATGAATTTCCAGATTCTTAATAGTTTAAAATATAGTTTCCTTTACTTTAAATAGTTAACTATAATCTTATTCTCTTATACTAAATATCTTAAGTTACAAAATTAGTTTTCATTACAAAAATATTTCTTTAGATCTACCATAATATTTAAATAGCTACAAAATATAGTTACCTGAATTAAATTCACTACATAAAATCATATTAATAATTTTTTGAAAATAATTAAATAGAGAACATCTAATAGTTAATATTTTTCTTCCCTCCCCCAAACTTAAATTTTTTAATATAAAATAATACAGGTAGAAAGACAAACTCTAAATATAAATCATACCTCAGCATTTTAGGTATTTTCATCATTCTAAAATTTTTGCAGTCCTTCTCAAAATTTCTACTTCACATTGTCTATAACATTAGGAGCTTTCTACACATATAAATCATTAGAGAAATTGTTGGGTAATGAAATTTTGAAATAAGTACAAAACTAAAACATTAACAAATACAATATTTTACTAACACATCCACAATACTAAACTAAACAATTACAATTAAAATGCGAAATAAAAATCACATTACAATACAATTCACAATGTATTAATCAACATCCATTATACTACACATGCAAATTTTAACTACCATACTAACTTTATAACAAAAATTAAAAATAATCCAATTACAACATAACAATAAAAATGAAAGTAAAAATACACACAGACATCCATTTCTATTAGAAAAGATTACAAAAAATATAAAAGTACAAATACATCAATTACATTCAGATATCAAAATCCCAAACTATGTCTTTGTCTCCTTGATCAGCAGGTGGATTGGGCTGATACTGAGTATATCGGGGGCACTCAGGAAAAGTAACAACTGGCTCACCTCTGTAGTGTCGGGCCTGAGCTTCATAATAAGCTATCTCAAAATTTGAATGCCTTTAAAGGTACTCACTATTATAATCATGTCGACGTTCTAAACCTCTAATTCTTTCATTTATTAATTTTATACTCTTCTGCTGCAAGGTCAACTCATTTATCAAGTCAGTTAGAGTAGGGGAACTAGAAGGTGGAATGTCATA